ACAACCCCCCAAAGCTTAACCATCACATCACAACCCCCCAAAAGCTTAACCATCACATCACAACCCCCCAAAAGCTTAACCATCACATCACATCATAGCCCCCCCAAAGCTTAACTCTCACCCCTGAATATAAAGTTCCTACGACACTTCTGGAAACTTGTAATCACGTCTGCATCGTCGTCTGGCCTGAGAGGAAGGACCATTTGACACAACTTGACTTTATGGGTGATACGCTCCTTCACCGATCAAGGGACTTAGGGCCTTAGGGACAGTTGACGTTTGGGTCTATCTTGTCGTCTTAAGTAGGTCTCTCCTGGACTAAGGGAAGCTTGTTTATGAGGCCGTGGTGCGGGGAAGTTTGGGGGGTAAACCTAGGTGGATGACAGATAGATAGATGAGATAGATAGAACTTGTATATTTATTACATTCCTCCTATATAGTAACCCTCCCTCATGTTGCTTTCTTGCGTACAAAGTGTGTATGTGTGTGTGTGTGTGTGTGTGTGTGTGTGTGTGTGTGTGTCTGTGTGTGTGTGGTTGTGATGACTTTTGATGAGGCGATCATCAGTACATCCTGTCTCTTACTGCGGCCTCACTCACACTACCCAGCCACTCACTCTCACCCACACACTCACCCACACACTTACCCACCCACCTACTGTGACCCATATTACCCACCCACCCATACTCTCCCATCCACCTACATCACCCACCTATCCCCCCCCCCCTCCTGATCCTCCCCAGTCTCACTCACATCAGCTAATCTCCCTCACTCAATCTCCCTCACTCAATCTTCCTCACTCAATCTTCCCCCCATCCCCCCTCCCTCCCTCACACCCAATAATGCGACTGTTAAAACGATGTTAACAAGGAAAAATTAACAAAATAGATGACCTAATTACATTCTATCTCTAATATTATATGACCATTGTACACATACACGTCCCAAAACATAATAATGCCATCGTTCATTATGTTGCCCAGGAGGTATTGTTGACATGGACTTAATGTTATTGACTATCACATTATTGAAGGTTCACTCATTCCGTATAGGTCTTTGGTCTCATAAGGTCTCTGTTGTAAGGGATATTAAGGTGTACCAGGATACTAAAGAGAGTTGTATTAACATGCTATACACTATTATCTTACCTATAGAGTCACGTTAATTCATAGACAGCAAAAGAAAAGGTTAAAAATGAAAGAGGAGTTCGACAAGGTGGTGCTACTTGACCAACGTTCTTTACGGCGGCCTTGTAAATCATTAAGTCAGGTACAGTTTAGATATCAAAGGCGTCTATTGTATCGCCTCTTTCCTAACAACGAATATAATTTTTCCTTCAACTCAGCAGGAATAGAAATACGAATATAAGAGATAAATAAACGAAATAAAAGAAGATTTAAAATAACTGGAACCTAAACAGATTTCCATATTCTCACCCAGTAGAGGTCGACCACCATCACCACGCACCTTCCATCAGCCAGAGCTCATGACTTCTCGGTTCAGTTTCCATCCAATAGAACCTAACTACAGTGTTATACTCGGGCCTAACAGTGTTTTATTTTTACCATTTATAACCTTCACCAGTCTCACTAGTTTGATCTCACCACGTGTTCTTTATACCAGTAAGTGTTGTCGATAAATGAAAATCAAAATGGCATCCTATATAAGGCAATCTCTTGAGCTCAGTCGTATTATCCAGTTCAACACCAATGAAAAAAAGTCTTATTTAATACGATCTTTTAGTCTTATTAAGTCTTATTAAAGTACGACATTTAGCACGTTCACTGTACACCAGTTGAGGGATCATATTAAGACATAAATTCTCAAAGGGTCGTAACTGGAAACATATCATCGAGGATTTTACTGAATAATCGTAGTTAAAACACGACATTAACACTTAAACATGGTCTTTAAACTGTGCTGAGACTCGACCTTAAATAGAAAGAACTAGACCACGGATTTCACCTTATCTAAATCCTGTGAGATGTTGTCGGATGAGATTTTTATCGTGGGATTTTGTATACTAAGATTTTTGTAATTGTATTTTATGGGAAAGGTTCTGCTAGGTGTTTTGTATAGATACATTTTGTCTTCTGGGATTTTACAGGGTGGAAAATTGTCTCCTGGGATTTGTTCAGTAGGTATTGTCCGCTGGGATTTGTTTAGTAGGTATTTTCCACTGGGATTTGTTTAGTAGGTATTTTCCACTGGGATTTGTTCAGTAGGTATTGTCCACTGGGATTTTCTTTGGTAATATTTTGTCGTGTGTGATTTTTGTCCGATGACGTACGGTATATTTTTGTATTGATGTTTAGAGTAGCGTGTGGCAGAGAGCACGTATGGAGGTTGTGTGCTTACTTAGGGAAGGAGGGAAGGAAATCACTCACTGGCAAGGCATCTCCCTCACCTCCCCTCCCCCTCCCCTCCCCCCTCTCCCTCCCCTGCCCCCTCCACCCTTCTCCCCTCCTTCCAGTTACTCTAAGGGGGAAAGAGGGAGGTGGGGGGAGGGGGGGTTCCTTCTTCAATTTCTTACGGATGTTTACTTCTTCTTTCTTCTTTCTTATTTCTTCTTCTTCTTCTTCTTCTGTCTAATAATTATCCTCATTTATCCTTATTCTTCTTTCCACTTGTATCTCTCTTCTTTCTCTTTGATAAAATTAAAGATTTTCCGGGATGTCCATAAGATAAACAGACAGACGGGCAAAAAAAAAACTCATAAGACATGTAAACAAAAACAAACAAACAAGAAAACCCACAAGACAAGTAAATAAACTGATAAATAAACACAAACATCCACAAGACATGTAAACAAGGACAGACAAACAAACACAAACATCCACAAGAACATGTAAACAAAAACAAACAAGAAAACCCACAAGACAAATGAACAAACAGACAAACAAAAATTCTCACAAGACAACAGACAAAAAAAAAACACAAAACAAACAAAAACAAGAAAACACTTGGTGGCATTGAGTTTATTTCCATGATGAATATTTCAATAAATTTCAAGATCCATCCCACTAATGGCTCCTCCTCCTCCTCCCCCTCCTTCCCCTCCTCTTCTTCCCCCTCCTCTTCCTCCTAATCCTCCTCCTGGCCAAAACGAAAAAGAAAAACAGGAAAAACAAATCACTAATAGAAGTCCCCTGCTTGTATGCTTTCCAATGCTATGTACTGTGGTAAAAAATGCAGAATATTTCATCCATATAGACTGGGTTTGGTGTGCACGATTAATTAGCCCGTGTATGAGGTGTGCACGATTAAATAGCCTCAGATAGGTTATGAGTGTATGGGAAGTGAAGGTATTGATCAATGTTCCGTGAGTGTTTGGTATGACTGAGAGACATTCCTGACCATGGTAGGGTTACATGTTACCTGTTACCTGTTACTTGTTATATGTCATCTGTTACCTGTTATCTGTTATCTCTTATCTGTTACCTGTTATCTGTTATCTGTTACCTGTTATCTTCGTACCTTCACAATAATGTACTTTATAGTTTACTCTCCTTGTAAGAAAAAAAAATTCCTTCCAAACACCAACTTTCCTACACGTGAACTTGATTAAACAATGAATAATTATTGTGGGAACCTCAGCTGTTGTCTCAGATGACCACGAGGAGATCAGAGCGTCACTTGACTCTATATAACAAAACACTTAGTCACAGTATCTTGGAACCTATAGTAAACAATGATCCATAAATCTTTGGATAATTAACTAAACAAAAATACAAATACTAATTATATAAAAAGTGATAAGGTATATATAATTAATATAATGTAACTGATAATAATGAGCATTTAACCTAACCTAATCTAACCTTATCTAACCTTATCGAACAGACAATGAAAAAATAATTAATAAATTCTAGATGGTATTTTTGTATAACAGAATTTTTCGTAAGCAATACTAAAGGAAGGAACGAGAGAGTGAACAACAAACACACAGATAAACTCAGGGTAATGACGTCAATGCAATCAGCAGAAACAACTGCAGATGTTCGTGGAGAAAATAATCATATCCGAGAGGTGGACGAGGTAATCCTTCCACACGCCTGAAGATAAAAGAAACCGCAAGAAGAATGACCCCCCAAAACAATCGAAGGAGCACTTTACCTTGCAAGAAGAGAGCCATCACCACCGTCCAGGCCTGCAAACACCGTCTCCTCAACGTCATGTTATCTTCCTCTACTGCCAGCAAAACCCTATTTGGAGACGTGTATTATTATCTCCTTGACGATGCTTGGAGTTTTGTGTGTGTGTCTCTCTCTCTGAAGGTCCGCCCTCCCTCCAACAGCTTAGGTGGAGGGCTTTTAGGGGAACCTGATGTAGGCTTTTGGGGGATTTCTGGATGTCTTTTTTTTAAATTAGAAACGTCTGGGTGATTGTTAAGGAGCCTTTTAAAGACCCGAGGATCCTTTGGAGACCTTCTGGAGGCCCTCTGGTGAGCTTCTGCAGGCCCCCTGGAGAGCTTTTGGAGGCTCTTGGATGACTTATTATAATTCCTATAGAGTAACTTATCAGAGAAGTCGTTTGGAGACCTACAGACTATCTGGAAACTTAACAATATATCCCAAATGTTCCTGAAACCGCGCCACCGACGGCCAAGAACAGGACTCCTTCCTTCCTTCCCTCCTTCCTTCCTTTCTTTTCCAGTTCCCCCGCTGGACTCTGTTTACGTTGTCATGGGTGGCGGGAGACAGACCGGAGGCAGCACACCCATGCTCAGCTCATCACACTTCCAGATTTTTGCGTCGAATAAAACTTTTGTTACCGCGACAGGTCTATAACAGTTTCTGGCTAATGACATTTGTGCCTTTTGGTCATATTAGCCAAAAAGAAAAAAAAATAATTATATCTGATTTACAGTAAAGGGACAAATTGACGGTTAGTTTTCATAAAGAATTCCATCGTTTAAGAATATTTCCTGGTCTATTTGTATACAGGTAGAACTAATCCACTCGGTTAGTGATCCCGTTAGAGATAAGGGAAACAACGTCTGTCATTGGCGGTGGTGAAAGGTAAACATTGAGGTCCACGCCGGAGTGAGTTCAGTGATCCAGCCTGGAACGGGAGAGCGCGCTCGACCCTCCTCTTGCTGTCGAGTCCGGCGGGATACTGACGACTTACTCTACCACTACCACCACCAGGCACTCCTCTGGAGGGGAGGGGGGGTGCCAGACGTGGGTGCCAGGCACTCAGACACAGCCGCTGTCGACGACGGGAAGAAGAGTGAAAAGTAGATTGTACGTGGTGGACGGTGCCTCGGCTTGATGGTGGTCCTTGCCTGCAGTTACTCGCGTACGTGTTGAGGGAGAGAGATAAAGACGGAGAGAGAGAGAGAGACAGACAAACAGAAAGAGAGAGTTAAAGATAGAGAGTGACAAAAACATAATTAGAGAGAGAAGAAGGTGGAAATTAGAGACTGATAGAAACATAAATAGAGATAGAGGCAGAGAGAGAGAGAGAGAGAGAGAGAGAGATACTGGTGTTGTTGATGTTTAAAGACGTAAAAGTTTGTTCATGGGACGTATTTTCTTCCACTTGATGGTGTAAACTCGTGCTTATTTTCTTCACTGATTTCCTAGAGTTGCGTTGTTGCTGTTGTTGTTAGAGTTGTTGTAGTTGTAGATGTTATTGTTGTTTTTCTTGTTGTTGTAGTTGTTATTGTATTTGTTCTTGTAGTTATTTTTGTTATTGTTTTTTAATATATTTTAGTAGTTGTTGTTGATGTAGTTATTGTTGTTGTTATTGTTTTTGTTCTTTTTATTAATTAATTTTTGTTATTGTTTTTGTTGTTGTAGTTACTGTTGCTCTTGTTTTTAATATTATTTTTGTTGTTTTATTGTTTTAATTGTTGTTTTTGTTTTTGCTTTTTATTGTTTTAGTTGTTGATGTTGTAGTTATTGTTGTTGTTATAGTTTTGTTCTTTTTTATTGTTTTATATATCGTTATTATTTTTGTTGTTGTTGTTGTTATTCACACTGGCTCAAATATTGTCAGGAGCTAACAAAATCAATGTGTAGGATATATAAAGCGAATGTGTGCGTGTGTCTGCATGTTTTAAAGTGCGTTTATGTCTGTAAGAGTGTGTGTGTGTGTGTGTGTATGAGAGAGAGAGAGAGAGAGAGAGAGAGAGAGAGAGAGAGAGAGAGAGAGAGAGAGAGTGTGTGTGCAACAGCAGATAAAGACATTTTACACCGTGTTGTCCCTCCTGGTCCTCCCACCTCCTATTATTATATTTCCGACTTGAAGAAACAGGCGAAAAACTCGTTCTCAGGTGACAGTAATCCCCTAATTAAGAATATTTCGCAATGTCAACACTGAGGAGAAGCAAAACCCTGATAAACCAGAGGCAGGAAGGGAGAGGAAGAGGGAGAGGAGGAAGAGAATAAAGACTAATAAGGAAAATGGTGATTAATATTTTTTTTCCCCCATGACGATAGAATGTCAGAAGAGGAGGAGAATGATGGACGGAGAAGAGAATAAATAATGTAATGAGGAAAATGGTGATTAATATATTATGCCAAGACAGGAAAATGACAGAAGAGAAGAGAGAGAGATAGAGGAAGAAATTAATAGAGTAATAATTTTTTTTTTAATAATTTGATATATTTTCGTATATATTTAAGTGTTAAGTGATGGTAATAAGCACAGTGTTGATAATTAATTGATGAGAAGTGAGAGACAGAGAAAGTTAATCGTTGTTTTCTTCAAATTTCAGGAGAAACACGACAGGATTTTCTTCTCTGAAACATGACCGTAACAGCAGGAGTCGTTGTTCAGGTAAAGCTCTCAGTGTTTTATAATAGTATTAATATGTTCATTACTGACTCACCTAGGCAGTGGTAGTGTTATCGTCTTCCACTATCTCATACTATGTCTTTTTTCATCAAGTATTTTCACATCTAAACAATATTATGAAACAAAACTACTGGGGATGATAATATTAACAAACAAGGCGATTTAACTTTTACCATTATCATCATTTTCTATTTACTCTCCATCCTGTAAGGGGGAACTAAAAGAAACTCCGGGTGGACCTACATTTGTCGCGGGGGAATAAGTCTGCAAGTTTTGGCCAAGGTCCGGAAGATTTCTTTGTCACTCGCAGCTGACAGAATTGATGTTTTCGATTGCTGTGACTGTGAGTTCCATTTTCCATCAGCTCTTCAGCGATTTTTTATCGAGTTGGCAGCCAGCGACAATGGTGGACTTGGTAAAAGAAATTTTGTTGAACAGATGGAATGGCCATTTCCATTATGGTATTTTTATGTTCATGTACAGAATAATTCAAAAATACTTACTTGAGGAGGTTATATACTGTAGGTCAGGGATTTACTCAGACTATGTACTGTATGTATGTATATGCATGTATGTATGTACTGTATGTATGTACGTATGTATGTATGTATGTATGTAAGTATGTATGTGTATGTATGTATGTATGTATGTATGTATGTACAGTATGTATGGTGAAGGGTAGTGAAGCACCATGGACAGGTGGTCATTACCCCCCCCCCTAACAATGTCCCCACACCACCATTACGTCATCCACAACAATTATCTCTCAAATGGGTTCACTGAATTACAGAAAATCAAGCGAGTCATGTCCGTGGCGTCCGTAGCGTCCGTAGCGTCCGTGGCGTCCGTGGCGTCCGTGGCGTCCGTAGCGTCCGTGGCGTCCGTGGCGTCCGTAGCGTCCGTGGCGTCCGTACAGTCCGTCGCGTGTTCCTCGTCTGACTGTTGAAGGAATTTACGGACAAAGGTTCATTAAAAGAAATAATTAATTCCTCAATACGTCTAATCATATATCCCGTTTACTGACATTTTCTCACAATATTATGATGAAAATCTTTAATTATTTCACCCCAAAATAGAGAAGAAACTTATTTATTTCTAACTGTTCAACAAAAAAAAAATCCTCCTTAAAACTGAGCGACGAAAAAATCAATAATTTATCCCTTGGCAGTGTTTATTTTTCATTTGACCTGAGTGGCTAAGTGGATACAGTACTCGCCCCCTGTTCTTTAAGGTCGTAAGTTCGATCCCGTTTTCTTGACTGTTTATTTTGATACTTTTTTTATTCAGTATTTTTTAGACAACTTCAAAAGTATTAAAAAATATCTCTGATAATTTTCTACAAAACCTCAGACCTATTCCAAGAATGTTCGCCAAGGACACAAACACCCGAGAATATTCCGTTAATTTTACAACTTATACAAAAAATATACGTCAGGATTATAAAAAAAAATTTAAATATAAAAAACAAACCGATTTAATTATCCAAAATATTTCAAAACTAATAAAACTTTCATAAAATTTATATAAAGGTGACAAAAAATACTCCCCTACGTCACGTCGTCCAGGTAGTTAGGTTCCTGGGGGCTGTCCACCCTAGGAGGCTCTCATCGCCGGTCTTCCCTGAGCGTCATGCTGCTATTCCTTTGGTCTCTTCCTTCAGCCGGATTTCCGTATGTATGTGTGTGCGTCAAAGACCTCTACTATGTACGTGAGTTATGGCGACGGGTCTATGTATGTGTGTGGGTGTGTGTCAAAGGCCTCTACTGTGTACGTGAGTTATGGTAACGTGTGTGTGTGTAATATTAACTTAACGCTTGATTAAGGTGAGTCGTGTCAACACAGACTCTATAATATGTACAAAAAAGTGTGTGAATAATGAACCAGTATGTTCCTACACCTTGTGGATTATAGCTGCGTGTTTGTGTGTAGAGGATTGAATTCCTGATATACCTGAATATTACAAGTGGAAACGTAAACAAACAGGTACAGATATTTATAAACAAACATACACGTCAACAATCAGATGCTAAAGTCATATATGAAAACATACTGTACATATAAAATACTTGTTAAACACATACACTCGCGTCCCATACAGTCATACAGTAATAATAAGTTGAATAATACAATAGAGGGGTGATACGGGGTAATATAGGGATACAGTTTACAATCATATAGTGATGGAATGACACAGTACAGTTATGGGAAAAAAGTACAATTTAACATAAGTGTACATCAGTGGTCGGGGCCGTGTTGTACAGCTAAGTCCAAAATTTTCACAATTGATAATAATCTTTGTAAAATTATCTTGGTAAAAAAAATAATTAAGAGGAATTTTTAAATGAAATAAATTAGGTTGATCGTATTAGTTACTGGTATGGCTCGGGATACGGGGAGGGAGGGGGGTATAGAGAAAGGGAGAACTAGAACGAAGGAGAGAGAGATAGAGAGGGATAAAAAGAGGAAGAGAGAGGGAGAGATATAGAGATAGGGTAGAAGGAGGGGAAGAGAGAAGGAGGAAGAGACAGGGGGAGATATGAAAAAAGAGGGGGAGAAGGAGAGCGACGGAGATGACTTAAGAAAAAGGGATAACGCGAGAGAAAGGAAAAAGGTGAAAAAAAAGATAAGATAGTAAAAGGAATAAAGATTAATTTCGTCATTAATATTGTCATTAGTAGTAGTAGTAGTGGTAGTAGTAATAGTAGTAGTGGTAGTCATCATCTAGACTCTAGAGGTATGGGAGGGGTAAAATCAACACACCAGTTACTCCTCGGTCTATTGTGGAGAAGACTGGCTAAATATTTCCTGTTTTTTGTTCAGCCACAGTCAATTATTTAGGTCGTACAACAAAATGAAAAATAAAAGTTTCATCGAGCGCTGTGGGACGCGTCGGGTCGTGTTGACGGATGGTGTGTCCTTCCAGGGAGAGATGATGTGGCAGTGTTGGGATATTATTTTATTTACTTTCGTTGTTTTGTTTATTTTTTCACTTTTTTCTACTTATTTGAGTATTACATATTTTAATTATTTCTGAGTTTAAATTTTGTTCCATATTGTATCGTATTTAATATGATTCTATTTATTTATTTGTTTTTTTCCTAGAATATTATTAATTCGATTTTGTATTTTCGATTTTAGTTTCGCTTAAACGCTACTAAAAACCAAATCATTATGACATCATTCCGGACTTCTCCAGTCATGAAGCTAGAAGAAGGTAAACCTGTGATTCCTGTATCACCATAGGCTAATTTAAACCGTGCCAGTCGCTCTGTGATTGGTGGAAAGCTGCAGGAAGGTAGGTATATAAGCAGATCAAAACTCGCCCCAGCAGTCAGTTCCTTACTAGTGCGTGAGCGGGGAGGACCAACGTCACATTCGAAGGTAATTACGATATAGTGGTACAGTGTGGTCATTTTATACACTTTTAAAAACAAACACCAGTCCATTAACTAACAAAGGTACAAAAAAAAAACATACGGCAAATGACTAATTCAAACACTCGGGTCATTATCTAACTAAAACGCTGACAAACAAACAAACACACACAACCATTATTAATTAAAACACACACCCACAACAAAACAGAAACAAGCCACCATTATTTCAGTAAAACACAATAGTCCCTCTTATCCTGTAGTAAGGTAGCGACAGGCGGTGCTGAGGCAGGGTAGTTAAGAGGTAACTGGTGCACGAAGCGACCCAATTATACCTGCAGATCACCTGATAATCACCCTCCTTCCCTCCCTCCCCCCTCCTTCCCTCCCTCCCCCCTCCTTCCCTCCCTCTCTCTCTCCTTCCTGCCCTCATTTTCCTTCATCCTCCTCCTCCTCCCTCCCTCCCCCCCTCCTTCCTTATTTCCACTCTTTTTATTACCACCTCACTTCCTTTTTTTTTATTCCCTTTCTTCTCCTTCCCCTATCTCCCTTCCTTCACTTCTTCCCTTCCTCCCCTTCTTCTGTCTCTTTTTTCTCTTCCTCCTTAATCTCTTTTTCCTTCTTTTCCCTCCTTTCTTCCTCTCTTCCTTCCTCTCTCTTTCTCTTCCTCCCCCCCCTTCTCCTCCCTCTCTTCTTTCCTTCCCTCCTCCTTCCCCTCCTCCTCCTCCCCCCCTTTCTTCGCTTCCCCTTCCTCCCTCCCTCCTCCCTCCTTCCATTCATCCCCCATCCTCCCTCCGCCCCCTCTTCCCCCTTCCCCCCTCTTTCCATTCCCCCCCCTTCAACACAAGGTAAACCTGATGACGTCATCTCCAGGAAAGTTCGACAGGGGAAATGGAGTCAGAGGAGCGCAATACATAAACAAATGTATACAAGGGAGGGAAATCAAGGCGAGGGGAGGGGAAACGACCGTCAGTCTGTCGATCCGTCAATCCATCCATCCGTCCGTCCGTCCGTCCGTTCGTCCGTCCCCACCAGGTTTGGGTAAAAAAAAAAAAAATATGGCGGGAACAATAGGAACTCTCCTCTCTCTCCTCTCTCTCTCCTCCTCTCTCTCTCTCTCTCTCTCTCTCTCTCTCTCTCTCTCTCCGCCTGTTTTGATTTGTTGTTGTTTTGGTTTGTAGGTTGTTTACTGTTTACTTTCTTGAAGGTTTATTGTTTACATTTGGAGATTTAATGTTGTACGTGTCTGTCTGTCTGTCATGTGTCCTCTTCCTCCTCCTCTCTCCTCCATTTTCCTCCATCCTCAATTCTTCTTTCCTTCTTATTTTCTTCCGTCTCTTCCCTCCTTTCTTCCTTCCCCTTTCTCCTTCCTAGTTTTTTCTGTACTTCTTCATTCTTTTTCTTTCCTTCCTGCCTTCCTTCCTTCCTTCCTTCCTTCCTTCCTTCCTATCTCCTTCCCCCCTTCCTCTCCACCCTCTCCTCCTTTCCTCACTCCATTTCTTTCCTTCCTGCCTTCCTTCCTTCCTTCCTTCCTTCCTTCCTTCCTATCTCCTTCCCCCCTTCCTCTCCACCCTCTCCTCCTTTCCTCACTCCATTTCTCCTTCCCTT